TCAACTTTTATTTAATCACATTTCTCCATTTCATTAAAAAAGCAATTTTTTAAAACAAGGTGTTGCAAACACCCTAAAATCGTATCTATAGATAATCTATTTCAAAGATACATTTAGGGAAAGTTTTGCCATGTGTCATCTTCTAAGCAAGTCTTTTTTAAATTCTCTTTCCAATTTGGTATATCAATTAATTATATATAATGCTTGAGATTACGATTTAAGTTGGTTTATGATTAGAATTGTTATTACGTTTTTAAGCTGCTATGTTGGCTACCAAAAAAATTCTCTCTTTCATACGAGCACTAAATTGATGGACTTCAACCAAAAAAATCTCTGTGTTTTTTTAATATTAAAAAATCTCTTTATTTTTTAATTTGATTTATCTTTTTTATGTGTGATTAACTTTTTACAAAAAATATATCAAATTTCATAATTTTTTATTATCTTTCATATGACACTAATGTCACATATGTAAAAATAAAAATAATTTTAAACATATGATAGATGGGGGGTTTTAGGCTCAAATTAAACTTTTCTTAAATAGATCCAAACTTTAAAATTTAAGATATCATGATTGTATAATGTAATTTCATGCTACAATTAGGAGACATTTTGTTTATTGACTTGAAGAGTTAATAAAGGCATATTAAGGTGCTGTTCTGTTCGTCTTATTCTTATTACTTATTACTTATTCTTATTTTATTCAGATCAGATCAGATCAGATCAGAAAAATTCAGATCAGATCAGATCAGAACTTAAAAAATTCAGATCAGAAACATTCAGATCAGGCGAAGAGAACAACTTCTAAGTTATAAACCATTTATTTAAAAATAACAATTCAAATTGAATCAATAAAACAACGTAACTCGGTTAGGACTTTTTCAAAAATCAGAAAACATAGATAACGCAAGCTAGGAGAAAGTAGAAGCTACATGTTTGGGAGGGTCAACTTAAAAATATCATTTTTGAAATTGCTATAACTTTAAATTTTTATAATTTTATTTTTACCAAAAAATGTTACAAAATTCACAATGAATTACTATCTTTCGTATGACACAAATATTGCATATATAAAAATAAATCTGAATATACGATTAATGGAGGAATTTTATTTATTGCCTGAAGTGTTAGATTTGAGCCACTTCATAAAATTTTGGATCCACTTAATTTTAGAACTTGGATCCACGCAAGAAAATTTTGACACCAAGAACCTCCATCAACTGTATTTTAGATTATTCTTATTTTTACATATGCAATATCGGTTTCATACGAAAGATAATAATAATAATAACTTTGTCGGTAACTATCAATTATATAGACATTGCTCATACTCAATTATCTTAATTAGAAATACGAAATATAATTCTATATTTTACTACATAGATATAGGCATCCTTCATATCAAATATCTAAGAATATAAAACAAGTATACTGACCCCCAAACATGAAAGCCCGGACATGTATCACAACATAAATTTTTGATGTTTTCTTAGTATGAATTCAGGTATCGACTTTCTCAAAAGGCAACGTGCACAAATCGTACAATTATAGGATAAGCATCCTAATAGATCTTAATATCTCTTGAATATATATACATATATATAACCAATAGTAAAGTTAAATTTCTTTATTGATAATTAATTTAGTAATTAATTTTAACATGTTCGGAAACTACATTATATTCAAATCTCTATAAAGTTGCACAATTTAAATTAGAATATACGGAGTAATAAAAAATGGATATCCTAATTAATTAAATAAAATCGAACTGTATGACCAAAAAAATCTAACTTTGCAAATCAATTTGTGACGGATAAAGTATATACACCATTAACATGTTAAACTTTTGTATTTAAATTTATTCTCTAATCTTTAATTGTATATGAAATTATGATGTCCTAAAAATTGCAAGGACTAATTTTGAATTACATTTTAAATTAATATTTATTCTTTTAGAATTAACGTTTGGATGTTGTTTTTGTTGTATATTTTGAATTAATCTTTGAGACTTCTGATTGAGCTTTTCAATTATTTTAGGCTGTGATAAACACCATATTTTAAAAACATATACCTATAATTTAAAAAAAATCGGGGATGGGCTGAAGCCCACCCTTAGAGAAATGAGAATAATTATTATTTTGTGAGAGAAATGAGAATGCATTTGGATCGTTAGATTGTATTATGTGAAGTGAATGAGCATTAGGCAAAACTGAAATGTGCATTAGGTGAAATTAGAATGTGCTACACAAAAGGTATGACACAGTACGTGACATTATGTGAAGTTTAATTGTGCATTATGTGAATCTGAAATGTGCATTAGGTGAAACTGATATGTGCAGAATAAAAACTACGATGCGGTGCTATTTTTATGCATTTTATTCTGCACATTTCAATGTCACATAATGCACCTTTTTGAGTTTTACGTCTTATTCTGCACATTTCAATTTCACCTAATGCACATTTTAATTTCATAAAATGCACATTTCAATTTCATAAAATGCACAATTCAATTTCAGATAATACAGTCCAATGGTCAAGATTGAATCTCATTTCTCCCTACACACATGATGCATGTTAAAACAATAACATTGTAACCCGAACTAATGTATTTTAAAGTAGTTATTTCACTTACGTATCGTTGCCATGAAAATATGAAACCTTAAAGTCTTATACGGAGATTAAAGTATACTAACAAATTTGAAACTGAAGTGGAAAGGAAACCAAAAAATACACAATAAGATGGAAGAGTTGTAGTAAGTAGAGTGAATGAAAAGAATTACTCCCTCCGTCCCGAATTGTAAGATACGTTACGGTTTACGATGTTTGACCCACGATAAATCAAACGAATCTCTGTCCGCACTCAAATGATTTTTCAAAAAATTCACATATTCAGAAACTACATTAAAATCTTTGCGAAGTCGCAAAAATCACAATCCAATTAGATATAAATTTGATATATAAAGTAAGAGATTAAGAGTAATTTGTGTTGACCATGTGAATAGAAAAGATATCTTACAAAATGATGCTGAGGGAGTAGTACTCTATAAGATGTAGAAGGTGAGATGGGAGGAAATCATAATCCTATGACTAGAAAACCATTAACTCTTTAAATTGTTTAATTCAATCTAATAAGTTCAAGTACTAAACGAAAATGAAAGTGGAATATACGAGAACAATTTTTTTAGCACTCCTAATTGATATCAATTAAACTTATATTATTTTTGTTAATAACTCCGAAATCATTCCTAAAACTGAGGAAAAGAGTTACAATAAAAGTGAGAAAAATTAAAATAGCACGATTGAATGTGTTAAAATTTGCTGATACACATAGTACCTCCGTCCCTTTTTAGTTAACCATCTTTGACTTTTCCAGACAAAGATAATAAACTTTGATCCAATATTTTAACTAATATATTTATGTCAACCTTAAGAAGTTTATACTTTTATGATATCATTTTCAACAAACACATTTTCATATCATTTTCATATTATGAATATTACTGTGTAGAAATATATACTCAGTAAAAAATTAACATCATTAACTTGGAAAATAGTGTTTGGCTAAATAAAAAGGGACAGTAGGAATATGTCTTATTAATGATATCTCAAATTTATGTTCACCTTTCCAATTAATGATATTTTCAACTGGATTCAATTTTTTTTATCTCACTTATGAAAGTAAAAGTTATTTTTTTACTAAAGGTGTGTATAAAAGTTTTGGATTATATTTTAATATAATCTCGATATATTTTCACTGAGAGTTCCATCCCTCAAAAAATTTATTGATCACGTATATGACAATTATATCCTGTCACTAAAAGTGTTGTTTAAGAGCTAGATAAATAAGTTATAGTGTGTATAGAAGTAATTATTTTACTCATGAGTTTAATTTTAATACAGTAATAATAGGTCATGAAAATTGTGATCATTTTTTATTTCTGAATATAGGATGTTTCTTTTCATTACATAGGTTGACATGTTTATATATTTCATTATAGCTACCTCTTGATGAGTTGATGTGATTGAATCTATTTATAAGTTTTATTCATCTATCCTTCTACGTAAAGATGGTCTATCAAAAGTTCAAAGCATGCAACCGTTCTTTGATCAATAATACTTATTTTACATAAAAAGATTATATTACTACCAATCACAATAATTAATTACCCTATTGTCACCGCCATCACCTTCGTTAAAATCAGAATGTCACAAAACTATATATTCTTAACTCTTTTCTTAAAGAAAGAGATCGAAGGACTAACTTGCGAAATTCTAAAATCTAGAAAGGCTAATATATTCAAAAAGAAATTGACTACACCCATTTTTAGATAAATAAATTACAAAAAAATGTGAAGTTAGTTTTGAAAAAAAAACCACAGATGAAATTTAATAGATAAAAATAGCCATTGAACATTCTTTTATGTTTAGGTAAAGATAGTTGAAAAGATCAATTTCATTTAGATGCAACTAAGAGTTATAGAACAATTTGCTCTTTTCATTCGAAAAGTCAAATATATAAATTGAGAATATGTTTAGATAATTGGTTCAAAAATAAGATAGTAGAAACAAATTTTCATTCAACGGTAGTTTATACCAACAGTCAATTACCATTGCTATGAGAGACTTATTCCTACAGTCAGGGACATATCTCTTTTGATCAAGGGTGTTCATGTATGTGAACACCCAAAATTTTGGAAATAAAATGTAAAAATACATATATAGAATTGATGTAATAATTTATATATTGATTTTTATGTAATATTTCTTACTCTTAACCTTATTTTTTTGGAATTTTAGTGTTGGAAAAGTTACATTTCTCAATTTATGGACCAAACAATATTATTTTGCAATTGATAAATAATTTTTAACACCCTATATTCATTACAAAACAATATTATAATTGACTAAATAAGTGACTTTCCGTTAGTAGAACTAAAAAGTAAAATCATTTTATCCCGTGCACGGCACGGGTACAAATACTAGTACTTCCATATTTCAGCACGATTGACGTGGCGACAACCATCTTGCGTGTCTGCAGACTGCGCCAGCTACCGTAATCCCCCCTCCCTGCGAGCCATCACCGGCTACCGCGCGCAGCACACTGGCCCGCCGTCCTCCGCACCTGCACGCCGGAAATACTCTGGTTTCTGTCTTTCTGACTCGCTACTCAGACAGGTAAGCCTAAATTAAAAATTAAATTCCATATTATGTTCAAAATAGAAAAATTTCCAGATTCAATTGGTGAATTCTTGTGATATGTGTTTCAGAATAAATTTCAGTTTCCATTACTAATCTACGGGTGTTTGTTCAATTAGTAAATTGCAGTTTTCTGAAATTTCAATTAGTTAGATTTAAGAATTTGAAATTTGTTTTTCCGGCTAAATATGCAAAGTTTATTTTCCTTTTTTTGTGTGTGTTTTGATACCTTATATTCATAGAATGCATCTGCCTAGTTTTTCGACCTCAATTTGTGCAAGGCATTTTCGTGCATAATTTAGAAAGTTTGCTAGCATAAATCAATTGTGTGATATGCAATTTGTGTTGAACGGTTGGGCAATTGGTAATGTGGTTGTGACTTGTGTCTAAAGATATTAATCCCATTGTTTAATATTAATCAATCAACCCAATTAGCATTAATATCATTGTCAAAATCAATCTCATTATTTAGATTTTAAGTGTTAAGTTAATAGTATTAATGTGATTGTGATTTGTGAGTACAATGTTACAATCTCATTGTGTAGTACTAATGCAATTTACTGTTGTTAGTATTAATCCTATTGTTCTAATATACTTGTGAGGACCTTTTTGCTATTTTCTAACTTTGTATGACGTGGCAGATTCTTGTAGACTCGTAGAGTAAAAAAAGCTAACAAAGGTTGGTCAAGATATACTATAAGAATTTTTTTAGTAGAAGCTTTTGAAGATTTTTCAGTAACAATTGTAACGGCCACAAGCTTCAAATAGATTATTTAAAAACAGAAGAAAAACATCCTTGAAAAAGATATCTTTTTGAAAATTTCCAGTGATGTCATTATGAGGCGATATCATTCTATGAACCCGTAAAGAAGATATGAGTATGTTAGGTGTTTTTCATATTTGACTTCAAATCTTCAATGAAAAGTCTTGATCGAACAATTATCAGGCGATATTATTGTTTTCATTCCCATGTGGAGTGTGAACATGTCAAACCTGGTAGAACTTCAAACTTGGTTGAACATTAAATTTGATTGACCTCAAACTTGGTCGACCAAGTTAGACCTGGCAGAATTTCAAACTTGATCAAGCTTCAAACTTTGTCGGACTCAACCTGATCAGTTTTTATTTTTTAAATTTAAACGTCACTAGTTTGTTTGAAGTTTTGAATAATTTCAATATTGCTATTATCTGAAAAAGAAAAAAGGTACTACTTTGATAATAGCTATCCTTCTTTCAGCCATTTTGATTCAAAATTCCCATTGTGTCGCAACCAAGAAGGCATGAATGATCAGCATTCTAACTCCAAATCAAACCTGGACAACAACAGATACAGCTCCGCCCGGACCTCCAAGAGACTGCTGTGGAGATGCATCAGCCTTGGTCATATTTTCTCTCTTAAAAACAGGGTAGAAGTGTAAGAACAAGGTGAAGTTGGTTCAAAAAATTTCTTAGGCGCGTAGAGAGTGGGGACCCATGTTTCAAGTAGAAGAGACTCTAAAGTTAGCTTAGCATCGGTCATTGGTGCAATCCTCTTTTCTGAACGCCATCAATCGTAGGTATGGGTTCATCTTCCATTTCTTCTTCTTTATATATATGTTTTTCTTTTCCTTCTTTATATCTCAGGTAAAAGTTATATGCATTGTTAATCCAATAACCGGAACCAGAAGATAGGGGTTACCTGAACCGAAATATGAAAATGGTGTAGGGCCATAGTGATTGAAAACTGGGACCAAATTTTTAATATTTAAACAAATTTAGTACTATCTTAATTAATAAAATTTTCTGGAGAAACATTTCATAAAAATTGCCATTAAATTAAATTTATAATAAATGAAATCAAAATATTTTACTCCGTATATATTAGTGTTTAATTTCCCGTTGCCAACCCCCTTCCCGTCATTTTGTTCCTTGGCCCGCAGCTCCAGATCTCTGTCTAAACATAAGGTTTATTTTCTGTTATCTAGTTTAGTTTCATTATGAGTATCTACCTCATTCTATTTATACCGTTAATTCTCTTAGTGCAGAATGAATTACTCAAGTGAAAGTAGATGAAGAATAACTGCAATGGAATAAGGAAAACACAATCAAATGTAAATTTAAGAAACAAGATAAAAGATTTGTCAATGAATAATTAGAAGCTTGTTCTGAATCATGCTCTCTAAAACTTGAGGAAGACATTCCAAAAAGAGCAACAATAGATCTATCCATATGCCACATAGGGGGTGTTTGGATATGATTCTTAAAACTGCTTCTACTCCCTCAGGGAGCAGAAGCAGAAGTTGGAATGTTTGTGTGAAAGTGTAGAAGTGATTCTAGTACTCAAATTTACTCCTAGAATCAGTTTTTTTAGAAGCTGGGGGTGACCAGCTTCTAAAAACTGATTATGATTCTGTTTCTGCTTTAAAAAAGAAGCAGAAGCAGAAGCAGAATCAGTTCCAAATACCCCCATACACCTTATCATTTTAAGTGGACTAAAAGGCTATATTTCTGCAATTAAATAACCAAGTACAATCAAGTTTCTCCATTTCTTACATGTACAGAAAATCAAAACCTCTCTTTATGTTTGTTATTTATACCAATCTATGTTATGAATTATTAGCAATTACTCCGTATTTTTTTTAAAGTTCCTGCTGGGGATTCGTAAAAGCATGACTTCCTATACGGAGTATTTGGAATATAAGGTGTGGTCTAAAGGTACATTAATATTTAATGTTATACCTTTTGAATTATTCTGGTCCAATGATTTGTGATGGGTTGTTCTACAGAAAGACTAGAGGGAGAAAGTCTGAACACACAAATAACTCTCTGGTTGCTTAAAACATTTGGCAAAAAACTGAAAAGGTATATTATTATTTTATCCATCAAGAAGGAAAAACATTCCAAACTAGTGAAAACATATGAAAGAGGTAAAAACATTTCATTTTATATTGAAAGAGTCCTTGCTCTTAGTACAGATGCAACATAAAGGAACACTTTTAGAGATGATACTCGGGCACAAATACAAAGATTATCTGACTTTATGACACTATATCGAAAGAGAACTTGGTCTTATTATAGATGTTGATTCTGTTGTAGATGATTTTTTCATTTCAAAGCCCTGAGAGGCCTTGACCCGTCTAGTGCAGTTCTATGTTATGCATCGGGATTCTTTGAGTCACGGGGGTGTGTTATTAAAATGATAAACAGGAAGGGGTCAGTGGAGATTTAGGGATGTTTTTCTCCTTTGGAATTTGAGGAGTTTTCTTTCTCCTTGATTCCTTTCTGTCTTGAATATTTTCTTCACATAGCAAATTTCCCTTTTATAATAAGTATTACATGCATTTGAATGCATAAAACAAGGAAAAGGGAAATCCTTGATAACTACTTCCTAAAACAGATAAGCTAACTTGGCTAAGTAAGGAATTAAAATCTAACTAGAATAAAATCAACCACCACCGCTCTTATCAATCTACTACCTGATGTTTACCTCTTTATAATCTTACAAATTGTTAAAATGTAGCATGCATCACTGTAGTAGAAAGTAGTTCTATTGACGTTTTGGTCATTCATATAATTTTATTAAATTAACATTTTCTGCCAAGTTCAACATAAGTGCCCAAGGCTTCCCTTGATGTATGCATTCTTGTGGTTTCTGACTGGTAAAAGCCACATAAACATTTTACCTTCTGTACTCAAATCCATGATGCTTCTTCCTCTATTTATGCGACATTAATTTTTCAAAATTCAAATCGAAGTGAATGTTCCAATTTTCTTGAAAATGAAACTTGACATATACAATGGAAAATGAAACCTAACATATAATGTGGAGAAAGAATGGGTAACTTCATTTTAAAAAATACAAATGACAAGGCAACACCAGTAGACTGCCCACCCAGTAAATCAATTTCTCTTTTTCAATTAGTGTCGCACCAAAATACACACTGAGCAATTTCTTAATTTCTTATATATCCCAGATTCCCAACACAGCTTCATATACTTGCCAACAAGTTCAAGAATGAAAGTGACAGTGGATGCAGCAATACTCAAGTTCATCTTTCAAGAACCCACTTTCAGGCCTCTTCGGAGCTTGTACCATGTTCAAACTGTTAAGCCACATATATCTATTTCTTCATATTGGTATTTAGAAATATCAAATTGCAATCAAGTTCGGAGCTTGAGAACCCACTCATTGCAGCCAGCTTGTGGAGAGTTTCGTATGATTTTGGGGCCTATGTTAGCTGGAAAAAAGACCACCCTACTGAACACAATAAGGCCTGATACCAGCACAAGCAGGTTAGGAAAACTTTCAACTTGTTGCTACATTTCAAATTCTGTCTATTTTTGGTCACATACTACGTATTCGTATTGGGTGTAGTAAATCTTGGATTGGAGCTTTATGTTTGATTGGAATAGTTCATTTTAGAGGAATTATGGTGATTAAAAAACACTCGGTATTGTTGAATGTTGAATTCATAGACATATGCATCTCCATTCATGTTCTTTGTATTGAGTTTGATATCTAAATTGAGTTTTTAGAGAAAAGAACGTCTTGTAACTTGCTTGCATTCTAATAAGAAATACAGAATATAGTTTTCAGTTTCTATTAACACAAAATTTTATATTATCCATATACGTTTATTTGTTGGAGCTTTATATTTGATTGGAAGTCGGTCTAGTGCCTAATTCATTAAGAAACAATCCACTACCCATGATATAATAGGAAAAGTTATCTGGTAATAGTATTCATCATCAGCATCATCATTACCCCAGTGCCGCAAAGGCTCCCACCTACGCTGGGGTAAGGGGGGATCGGATGTATGTAGCCCTACCCCTGTACTAAAGCACAAAGAGACTGTTTCCGGATGACCCAAAATGAAAATCACGTTGAAAATTGCATGGACTGACTTCTGCTTCATAACAAAGGAGCGCAGACAGTTTAGTGAGCCATTTTGCTTTATTCCATCATGCTCCCAAGCGAAAAAATAGTGAGTCTTTGGCTCCATCGGAAATGATGGAAATTATCCGGTAAGAGTATTATAGTTATAGAGATAAAATGATGACTGATACATTATGTGGCTGGAAAGATCAAATTAAAATTGAGTTCTTGTTAATTACAAATTCATTTCTATCTTCATTGTTTGCTCTGTATTAGTGATACCTGTGGAAGCTATTATAGAAATAATTCAATGTATACCGGAGGAGTTTTTTTTGTTCATGAAAGAACATTGAGTAGTTATTGATTATATCCACAGTTTTCAGGGTGACATTCTAAAGAATCTGTACGGTTGGGATAAAACACTAAAAGAATTATGTTTCTCAGGAAGAGTGAGGGAAGCAGTTGGGATATTGTGCCGCAACGGACTGCGAGTGGAGTCTGAAACATATTCCCTTCTTTTGCAGGAATGCATTTTTACGAAAGCATACAAGCAAGGGAGAAGAATTCACTCACAAATGGTTGTTGTCGGGTTTCTCCCAAACCAATACCTGACAATCAAACTGTTAATCCTGTATGCAAAGTCAGGAGATATGGATACTGCCCACAATATATTTGATAGGTTAAACTTAAAAAGCCTCATCTCCTGGAATGCAATGATTGCAGGGTATGTGGAGTATAGAATGGAAGAAGTCGGCTTATGCCTTTATTACAAAATGAAACAACATGGCTTGAATCCCGACCAATACACTTTCTCATCGGTCTTTAGGGCATGTGCCTCTTTGTCTATTTTGGAACAGGGCAAGCAAGCACATGCTATGGTGATCAAAAGGAAAATATGTCGAAACCTAGTTGTTAATAGTGCCCTTATGGACATGTACTTCAAATGCAGTAGTCCATACGATGGCTATCTCGTGTTTGAGAAGTCATTGGAGAAGAATGTCATAACATGGACTGCCCTGATTTCTGGATTTGGGCAGCATGGTAGGGTAGTGGAGGTGCTACAGTCTTACCATAGAATGGTCAGTGAAGGTTTTAGACCCAACACTGTAACATTTCTTGCAGTTCTTTCTTCTTGTAGCCATGGAGGGTTAGTAGATGAAGGTAGAGAATATTTTTCTTCAATGACGAGAGATTATGGGCTTCAACCAAGTGGGAAACACTATTCGGCTATGGTTGACCTTTTCGGACGTGCAGGGAGGTTAGAAGAGGCTTATGAGTTTATTAAAAACTCACCCTATCAGGACCACCCTGTGTTATGGGGTGCTTTGCTTGGGGCTTGTAAGATTCATGGAAATATGGACATGCTTAAACTCGCTGCTATGAATTTCTTTGAGCTGGAACCGGAGAACGCCGGGAAGTACGTTGTCCTTTCTAATGCCTATGCCTCATTTGGTTTGTGGAACAATGTTGCAGAAGTCAGGAGAGTTATGAAAGAGTCGGGTGTTAAAAAGGAGACTGGTCATAGCATGATTGAGGTTCAAAGACAAGCACACTTCTTCTCTATGGGACATAATACTCATGCACAAACAGATTTGATATTTGAAGTGATTAGGGACTTGACTTACATTTTGAAGGACACGGGAGATATACCAGAACTCAGAAGCTAAGGAGAAAGAAAGTTGTAGTTCACGTATTATCTCCTCCAGAACCCCCACCCTGCCACCCCTTTCTGAGTGGCCTGGATTATGTTCTGGTAATGCATGAAATGCTTTTGCCAGTAAGTTTTCTGGATCATTTTGCTCAATGTCATTTATATGGAAATCAAATTGCTGACCATAGTTATCTTGCATTTCTGTTAATATTGTTATTATTTTTGCTGTTATTATTGTTGTTGTTATTGTTATTAATATACTATTACTCCGCATTTTAAAGCTTGCCAGACTTTCCTTTTTGGGATGTACTTGAAAGTTTGCTACACTCTCCCCTTTTGGTAAGTTTTCCTTTAAAATACTCAATTACTTAAATTTTTTCTACCTTTTTATCTTCTCTTTTAAACTTTTACACTCTTTTTCTACACTATTCATTACCCCTTCTACTTTTCTTCTTAAATAATGTGCCAAAACCTATTGTAGCAATCATTAAAACAAGGAGGGAGTATTATTATTATTATTATGACTATTATGATTATTATTATTTTCATTATATAATAATTATTACTCCGTATTATTATATTATTATTAGTATTATTATTACTATGATCATCATCTTTATTACCATCACCACTACTACAATACTACTTATTCCTCATTTCTTTGATCCGCAGGGGGTCTTGAGTATTAGATGTTGAGTGGTGGGGCTTTGGGAGGAAAAGAGGAAAATAAATGCAAAGTTCATATGTGAAAAGGGAGTATCCTTTTGAGGAAGACAAGTGATCACTTTATGATGATGCGGTGCAGTGGGAGATTAATTTTCATTGTGGTTACTGCACAAACGAATGAATGCTTGACCATTGGTTGATTTAGGGCTCGTTTGGTAACTCTCCCTTCAAGAAGCAACTCGATTGTTTGGAGCATTGGCCTAGGAATCGAGAGGATGTTGCCGCGAGAATAAATAGTTGTGACTTGACAAGAAGCAACACCGGTAGAGATAGAGATGTCGTCTGTTCAGCGTGACTCAGATCTCAGATCACACCCTGCTGTCCAAGGTCATTTTTGGGCTTCATAACGCAACCTCTTTGAAATAAAGGGGTTTGAGGATAGAAATAACCAGCTCAAAACCACTATGAGAGCCACTTTAAGCAAGATCAGATCCTAGAGTTGGAGGTTTAAAAAGAGACTCGGCACCATGGAGTTGTATTCTGATAGAGATCTACCTATTAGACTAATAAATAGAAGAGTTAGTTGTAGTTATATTTCGGTTATTAAATAATAACTAGAGTAGGCTGTATGGGAAGTCTATAAATAGAATTAGTCTGGGAAGGGGAGGCAGGCTGTTTTGACTATTGTAGTCTGGACTGGGAAAGTTAGAGATTAATCGTCTCTTTCTTTTGGGGGCTTCGGCCAGAACTCTTCTTCATCAATAAAGTTTACAGTTCTTGTTCTTGATATTTCTTGATAATTTTCTGTAAATCCTCTCAATACCTAGATAGCTCTAACAGTGGTATCAGAGCACGTCGGTGCTGGGTGAGATATACGCACGCAAAGATGGAAGGGCGTATTACGGAAGTGGAGAGAAACATGACGGATATGGCAAGAAACCAGAGGGAGTTGGCAGATAGGCAAGCTAAGATGGAAACGATGATGATAGCTGTGCAAGCTAGCATCGAGGATATACAAAACAGACTTCCAGGTCGTTCGCAAAGCAAGTCACAAACATCTGACCCGTCGCATCACAGATCACTAACCAGATCGCGGAAGGGGTCGCGAACTATTTCTTCTGGTTCGCACGCGCAGACGGCTTCTTTTAGTTCGCAATCGCGAATATCTTCTCACTGTTCGCAATCGCGAACATAGTTTCTCCCTTCGCAGACTTACTCATCGGCTATCAGTTCGCGTCCAAGAACGACGCGAGTGAGAGAAGAATCTCTATCTGCATCATCAATCGAGTCTAAGGGTTCACCATCCTTGTCGCAAATAGCTTCTCTCAGTCTGTCGCAGGAAGCTACGCAAACATTTTCTTCCAGTTTGCAAGTTTCATCTGAAAAAGTTGTTTCCAGTTCTCAAACTTCTTCGCGAGCCTATTCCTCATCGCCCAGGGAAGAGAAGTTCATTGAAGATGAAGGCGAGAAGAATGCGTCAGTAACCCATGGACCAGAAGCTGGTAAAATTGCTCGATTTCTCAAGTACGAACCCGTCAAGATTTTTAAGAATCTCATTCCGGGTCTCTTCACTGACGAGGTAACAGAAATTGAAAAGGTTTGGGGATTGTCAACAGTGGGTATTATTGTGCTAGATGGAGGTGTAGGTCATGACATGCAATCTCAGATGGAAATTGCTGGTACAGAGATCAAGATTTTCTGGAAAAGAGATGAGCACTGGAAAAGGGGAAACATGGTTCACCAACTTACTAATAGAAGAATGAGGGAGAAGTATGTTATGAATGCTGACAGTCAGGACCAAGAAATCAGGAGTGAAGGTGTTGAGTCATTCCGGGGGGCTTAGCAAAACAGTTGTGGAAGGATGATACACATATTAGTGCAATTAAAGGTTCAATCTGCACTCACCCCAATGTTAAACTGAGGATGGCAGTGAAGGACAGTTTGATACTTGATGAAAATTGGGACTATTCTAATTATGGATTGAAATGGGCTGATGAGTTTAATCTTGAATACCCGTGGGATAAAATCGGGGTGGTCCTGGACCCTACTATTCAGTATACTGTTAATGGATTGGTAGCTAAAGCAATTTTTCAACCTTACCAAATGGTCTTAGGCTCCAATAGTCCAGAAGTGAACTGTTTTACTAGTATTTTTTCAATGAAAATCAAGCTAGGAGAAACTGTTGGAAATATAGAAGGGGAACCCTATTTGATGGGAAGAATGGTTATAGCTTCCTTCTCATCACTCAGGCTAATAAAGTTGGATGCAAACTCAGTCAGGGAAGCAAAGAGGCTGAGCAATATCCCTGAGGAAACAAGATTACACCTAAAAAGGGGAACCAACACTCAAGTTTTCCTTTCTCCAAGTGGTGCTGGTGCCCCTATAGACATCCGGCAGTACATGACATCAGGATCTGAAGTTTCTGAACTGGTTGTGGGGTTTGTAAGCTGCCAGGCATCTTTGGGATATTATATCCTTTACAAACTTAAGGATCATTATGTCACCATATCCTTGCATCTGTGTATTACTGCCGTGAAGTACATATGGAAGAAGATGGAAGAAACGAAGCTAAAGGTCCAACAAGCATTCAAGTATTGGGAAGGGAGAAGCATAAGGATGAAGAGGAAACAAAAGATCTTGGATGTGTCCTATCACCCACCTTGAGGGCAAGGTGGATGTTTAGGAGGGGAGTATTGATAAAGATCTCCCTATTAGACTAATAAATAGAAGAGTTAGTTGTAGTTATATTTTGGTTATTAAATACTCCCTCCGTCCCATTTATATTGTCCCGTTTTACCTTTTCGGGAAGTCCCACTTAAATTGTCCGATACCATATTTGGTAAAGTTTGTGTGGCTCAAAATCATTCTTACTTTATTCTTACTTTATCAATTAATATCAACCACACAAACCTACTTTTCTTAAAACTTGTGCCACTTTCTTCCGTCCCAATGTAAAAGGGACGGAGGTAGTAATAACTAGAGTAGGCTGTATGGGAAGTCTATAAATAGAATTAGTCTGGGAAGGGGAGGCAGGCTATTTTGACTATTGTAATCTGGACTGGGAAAGTTAGAGATTAATCGTCTCTTTCTTTTGGGGGCTTCGGCCAGAACTCTTCTTCATCAATAAAGTTTACAGTTCTTGTTCTTGATATTTCTTGATAATTTTCTGTAAATCCTCTCAATACCTAGATAGCTCTAACATATTCAAGAGGAATGTAACACACAACCAAGCTAGCGTTAAGAAGCTTTTATGGATGAGGTAACAATGAAGGGGATTTCATTTTTAATATGCACAATTTCAAAATCTTCTAAAGTTGTCTGTGCTAGTTTATAAGAATTCCTATAGAATTATAGATCATGCTCATGCTCATCACATTTTTCGTGTGCACACGCTACCATATTACATATGTAGTATAATCACGATGATTTATACCTAAATCATCACTAACATTACTCCCCTTGTAAATTGTAATTAGCATGATATATGAGATTTCCACTTTAATACTTAACATCACCATTTTTTATATAGGCAACCAAGATATACTGAATTAGTGAATTTGCACTGTAACACTGCTAATGACTCAATCAGATTCAAAGAAACGGAAAAACCACGGCCCTTAAGTACATATGCACAGTGGTTTTTAAAGGTTAACCAGTAGGAACAATGATTTTAAGAACAATTCTTAAAATGTAGTGTTTCTTCTATTTTGTAAGGTGTTGAATAAACTTAAAGGGGGGAACCATCAACATTATTATATTAGTAATATACTAATATGGGTTAATTAAATATGGATGAGTGTCATGCAACAATGAACAGGTTGTCTTGGAAACGCTATGGTGGAAGGTGGCTCTGGTTCCAGATTGCAAGTGAGACCACCAGACCAGTAAAAGCATTTTCCTCTTTGATAACTTATACTCCGTATAAGTTATAACTTATACTCCGTATAAGTTATAAGCAATGTGTAAAATTATATCCGCCATATTATAAGCAATGTGTAAAATAGATTAACTTAAAATTCATACTTTGGTCCTTAAAAAGTAGTGGTAAGACAAAGAATGAAAAGCCAAAAGCAGGGACGAAGTGAAGAAGAAACCGGCAAGAAAGAGAGAAAGTCGGGGGAGCAACAAGTGCAGGGATAATTCAGGATTCCGAGTTTCCGACCAATCGTCCGAAGGTTACACGTCTTTATTAGTCCATTTTTTCAAGTTCAGGCTAATTCGGTATAGAAACACATTTGGAGTTGAATTGCCCAGGCCAAACGTAACCTAAAGAGGATAGGACCTGATACATTTTTTCTCACCACCTTTTGATTATATTGAAAATCAGTACTTCAAAATTTGCAATTTTTAGAGTTTATACACTCGCACCTCATAAAGATTTGCAATGTCGGTTCAAAAAAAAAAAAGATTTGCAATGTTATTAATTCTATTCCTTTAAGAGATATTACCCAAAATGAGACTAAAAAAGTTTGGAAATTCCAAAATAGGATTTCCATGTTTTTATTCCCAAAATAGAACTAATTACTGTCATGTTTTGGCAGTATCAGACTTCAAACATGGCGGTATTTTCCAAATTTGGCAGTAATTAGTCCTATTTTGGGAATAAAAACATGACAGTCCTATTTTGGAATTTTCAAACTTTTTTAGTCCCATTTCGAGAACTTTCCTTTCCTTTAAAGATCAAGTCAGGACTCAGTTTATGTTCCCTTCGTGAGTTCGTGTGATAGGAGTTGAACAAAATTGAATTGTGTTTATAATGGACATAACGTATTAAAATACTAAATTAAATTATCTTCACTGAACTGATACTACGTACTAATATTTAAAATTTTCGACATTAGACTCATGAAATTATACATCAAGAAAATAAAGGATGTAAAGAAAATCGCATATATGGTCCCTCAGAAATCCACGAGATAATAATCTCAGAACTGTATTTATGAGATTTCAAATTACACCCCCGAATTGGTACAATTACGTTAAATGTCGTCCCCCGCCGTTAGAAGTCCAACTAACGGCATCTGATCTTCCATTTTATGAGGGGTAAACGCATAACATTTTTTTAAACCAAATCTAACCACCGGTTTAGCTCGCTACCATCTTCCCCTTCGCAGCTCCCAACAACTCCAACAAGAAGATTGACGGTGCAAATGTTACCGCGTGTACGGGACCGCTCCATTTCACTCACAATTTCTTGGATATGATCGAGGCGGGTTGGGAGGGATGATTGGGACATGATGAGAATGATGCGGTTGTATGTCGTGCCAGAAACTAGGGATTCTTGCGGGGCAAAATTGGAAGAACTTGAGAGCTAGAGCTGGAGATTTGAGAGACTTGAAAACTTCGGAGGCTTCCGAGGGAGTTAAAGCTAGATACAAGGTATAGAGATATTCTGAAAGGTCAAGGAACCGGTCTGACGAGGGAGAAGAAGGTGCCTGGAGAATCTGAGAGACCTTACAAATGATGTTTCGGCGGGGAAAAACATAGCCGCGAACGTCCATTTGGAAAATCGGGGAGTCGACTTCGATGGCAAATGAGCGATCATTGTCAGCTTCCGCAACCACCCTACCGCTATACATGGAGGTAATGGATTTGGGAGTGATAAGCGTGATAAAGACTTTAGGTAACGAAGGTTGAAGAGATAGATACGAAATTAGTGATTTAAACCTTTAAGGAAGGAAATTTACGCGTTTACCCCTCATGAAATGGAAGACCGGATGCCGTTAGTTGGACTTCTAACGACGGGGACGACATTTAATGTAAGTGGGCCAACTCGGGGGTG